TGAGCACCATCTCAGCAATCTCTCCAGCCTTGAGGTTGGACAGGAAAGACTCAACCGTCATTCCTCGAGGTTCAGTATCTCCGCAACCTCTGGCAACGGCTCCAAGTGAACACCAGATGCCTTGACGGGTAAACCGGTCTCGCCATCGACGATGTGATGACACTCTTCCTTCGGCCTTGCCGGAGGAGCCCGGTCCCTGGACTCCGAGTCGCTTGAAGCGACGTCGATCTGAAGGAAGTTCGGATCCGACTTGAGGCGGCGGCGGCGTCGTTGACGACGGCAACCGTGACGTGGAGCTTTGCTGCCCACGTCTAGGGATGTCGGCGCTACGACATCCGAGGCATTCGTGGCCTCGTGTGGTACTATGGTACCCACACAGGAAGCGTGTTCAGCGCCTTCCTCTTCAGTTAAGGTCTGGGCGACCGCGTGTGGCACTGTGTTACCCACACAGGGAGCGTATCCGACGTCTTCCTCTTCAGTTAAGGTCTGGGCGACCGTGAGTGGAACTCTGTTACCCACTCTGAACACGCTGTTCTCAGTGTTCGTGACAGCTGCAGCAGTCTGCGGAACTAAGTTACCCGCCTGTAGACCTAAATTACTCACTTGGCCAGCGCCTCTTCTGGGCGCTGCCACCATCAAAACATCCTCGGAGTCGTCATATACGTCGACGACTCCCAAGCATCTGCCGGATGCTTTGGTACCCTGGCAGCCCTTGCGGGCGCCCCGGGTCCTGACAGAGGTGGGAACATGACTCACCAATGCTCTGTCGGTCTGGGCGGCTGGCACCGATTGCTTTGCCTCGCCAGTCGATCCAGGGCTCGTGCTTCTCAAGCCAGGGCATGCCCAGGATCATATCATATGGATCCATATCGAGAACAGTGAACTGTTCGAGGCTGTCAAAGTCTTCAAACTTGACGGCCAGATCCACTTGGACGTTGGGGACAGTGACGACCTTCCCGTCGGCCAGTTGCACTGACACCGTCCCGTTGCCCTTGCTTTCTCTCAAAGCATCGGACAGCTTGTTGCTGTTACGAGCAACTGTCTGGTGGTGTGCGAAGTTCTTCGACGCCCCAGAATCGATCAAGATTCTAAAGGGATGATCGTATCCCCGTACACATCCGTGTACTACGAGCAACCCGCCGCTGCTCTTCGCCGATTCGAGAGTGCGAAGACTCTCAGGGGCTAAGTCCCCGTGGTACGCGCCACCCGCGCACCCATCACGAAGACTTAGTTCTTCCCCAGTAGGGCGCCCCGCCCCAACTGGTTCCCTGCGTTCCCCTGTCCCCGGGATCCTGGCTTCTACCAGCGACCCTTGAGGACGGGCTTGGGAAGGGACCGTCTGCGGAGTCTTTCCGCGGGGCAGTTGCGCTTGAAGTGGCCCATCTTCCCGCAGCCGAAGCAGCGGATGTCACGCTGTTCGGCAGACCCGAGTTCCATGGGAACGGGTCCGTTGGGGCTCGTTCGACCGGGAGCCGACAAGGAACTCCCAGGCCATGCTGTGGCCGGCGTACGCGCCTGGCGATGGCTGTACTCTTCTTGAAGAGCCACTTGAATTGCCTCTTCAAGGGTGATTGGCTGCACCTGGAACAGCTGAGTGCGTGCGGGGCCCACTCGGAGGCCGTCCATGAACACAGTCATCTTGATGTGTTCGTTGAGTGGTTTTCCCACTAGGGACGCCGTGAGCTCCCGTATCTCTTGCACGTACTCGTGCAGTTCGCGCCTCCCTTGTTTACACGAGAGGAAGCGCGAACTCTGGCGGTACTCGTAGTTAGCCGGGAAAAACGCGGCTCGGAGCTGTTCACACAGCTGAGCCCAGGATGTGAAACCTTCAGGGGATGTTGCTTCCCGTGTGTACACCCAGCTCCTAGCACGGCCGCTAAGGTTGGAGAGTGCAAAAGCAACACGAAGTTGCTCGGTCGAGATCAGAGCCGCGTCCATCGCGAGCTATACTTCTCGGACCCAGAAGTGAAGGTTCTCGCCTTCCTTCCCTTCATACGGCTTAACCTTCAGCCGGATTGGCTTCGGGTGAGGCGGATTTGCTTCCGCCGCCGGAGCCTGCAGGTTCTCCCGCACATGCGCGATGAGGCCCTGCTCGTACGCGTCGAATGCATTGACGCGCTCGAGCTGCTCAGCCGGTGTTGACACCACCAGGCTCTGCAGGGCCTCCATCCCGAAGATGCCAGCCATCTTCCGAACCGACTCGAACTGAGAGTCGTTCATATGGGAGAAGTCGTTCCTATCCATGGCAACAAACTTCGGAGAGGTTCAGGTGGTCTACCCGCGGTGGCGTGGATTGACTACGAGTGCTACCAAGTGTGACGGGGTCACACAGCACCTTGCGCTAGAGGAAGTTATCTTCCGAGAGTATACAAACTCTCAGTGAACGGCAGTTCACAGGTCCCCTCTTTGATTAAAGAGAGCGAAGTGACCTAAATAAGGTAGATTGTAAACTAAGTATATTTATAGGTAGGTGAAGTTTGGGTTTAATACAAACTATAAGTCACCTATAGAAATGCAATGTCATCAACCAATGGTACTTTGTACCAATTGAAGTGTGACGTGTCACACTTCATGTAACCAGGGTACACTTAGGGCTACCCCGTTACATTCACTATTCAAGCAGAATACAGTACTGTTTAATGATTACGAAATGACACGACATAGAAAATTGTAACAAAAAAAAATATAAAACAAATCCCCCTTTAAGCGGAGGGGTATTTACAGTGTAGAGGGGTATTTACAGTGTAAATACCCCTCCGCTCAAAGGGGGATTTGTTTTATATTGTAAATACCCCTCCGCTTAAAGGGGGATTTGTTTTATATTGTAAATACCCCTCCGCTTAAAGGGGGATTTGTTTTATATTGTAAATACCCCTCCGCTTAAAGGGGGATTTGTTTTATATATATTTTGGCAATTACAGAGGTTTCTAAGAAAATCAAACGGGGGATTGTTTTGGTGACCAGAGCATCGGGGTGCTAACACAGCAAAATCTCGAGCCTGTCACCAGCGTGTGTAGCACACGTGGATTTTCAAGAGGCCGAGCGTCTTGTACCCTACGACGCTTTGGCCTCCGACCCAAACACTATGGAACGTGTGTGACCTTCTCCGTGGGCAATACATAATCGGAGATGTACTACACTTTAAACGCGTATTGGCGATAATGGATTTTGAGAGTGCCACTACAAGACTAATATGAATGGCTCACATCGGATACCTTCCAAATGTCATGGCAGCAGGTATAACTGCCCCTGGAAACACGCGTACGCGGCCATTCGAACAAGGCACTAACACTCGAGGCGGTTCGAAGATAAAGGATGAGGACGGACTCCACTATCGTTTTAGTCGAGACTGAGCCAGATTTTCCTCGCTGGCACGCGCGGTGCGTTTCTGCTTCGTCAACGTTGCGGCACTCGATCGGGTCAGGCGTTGGGCGCTGATCACTTTGTAGTGACGGCTCGAAAGCAATTCGGATTTACGCCAGTCCGAAGCTTTCTGGCCCCACGCCGCGCCTGACCAGGCAGTCAACCTTCCGTCTCATCGAGTTAAGGCTTAAATATAGTGCTCAATCCTTCTCGCTCAAAATTTGCCGAGATGAAAGAAAAAGACACGCCTCAGCTTCAACTTGATCTTTAATTTATTCAAGTTAAAAAGCACAATACCAACGGCCACTTCAAACGGATGGCATTCAGAGTGAGCTCGCAGAGCTCGTTGCCCATTGCCCCCGTGTCGAGGAGGGCCGCCTATACTGCAAGCTGGGAAAGAGTGAAGTGGGCGACTGTGGTCTCCGTTGCCGCCCTGGGGTTTGTTGAGCTAAATAAGCTGACAGCTGCAACCGCAATGCCATGCGCCTCCCCGTTACAGAAGTGAGGATCCTTACGGCACATGTAATAGCAATATCAGGTGATTCAGGACGCTCGACACGCCAGTATCAGGCGCCGCTTCGCTGGTCAAAAAGCCCACAGTGACGAGCAAATGTGCACGCGGACATTGGCACTTGCGGCGTTTGAAGAAGCGTCGAACCAAACCATGCATGCAAAGACGTGCTGTCGACGAATGCATCGAAGCTCGCCCGCCGCAGCCTATTACGAACTTTAGTGACCAGGGCTCTGTTCGAGCTGAAGCACATACGCCCATGCAATCACAATTTGTGATTCACCATTTCGGTGGACCAATCCGCTTGAAGATCTACCGGGTACACGGTGATGACTGTCCGCTCAAAAGCGATGCGCCACATCTTGACGACAACCGAGTCTGGCATGGCCGTGCTGGCAATTGTGCTTTACAATTTGTAAAGCCGCCCGCCTTCCCAGAAGTGTTCCCAGGCCCACTGTCAGAGACTGAGACAGACAGGCCGGTATTTGCTCTTGCAGGTCTTTCAACGCGGGGCTCAGTCGACGACGTCAGTCAACTTCAACTTGTCATTGATTTGCACAGGTCGGCCCACTAAGGCGCGGAAAGATGAGCCCCCCGCAGCAACCAGGTATTTGTGCGGCTGACTATTAGCCCGAGCTTTGAGCTCCAGTAATTACAGCCGGCGCATCCTTGTAAGCTCATCTTCCGCTGCCGCCGAAGCGCCATATATCCCGCTCTGTAAGGCCACCACGCGAGTGGCTTTATTCGGCGGACAGCTCTCGAGACGTGGCGCCATCGACAAACGCCCAAACCGACTATATGGTGTCCACAATGCTCGGCGGTCAGGCTTCGACGTCGAAGTTGGCTTTGATACGCTGACTCCGTTTCCGAGGATACGGTGCAGCTTCGCTTGGCAGCAAGATCGCGCGAGGAGCGACGGAGCCTTTCGTCGCGGCAAAGATCCTGCTCCTCCTCTCTGCGTCGAGATGCTCGCGCGCTGCCCGTCTACAGAGTCTGTAGTACAGACCACCGCTAGGACACGGGCGCCCAACCTCCTCCGTCAGGTCCGACAGCAGGTCTCATTCCTCCATTTGCTTCCCCGGCAATACTTGCAACACCAATCTGTTTACAGCCCCACCTTAGCAGTATGACTGTCCGCACGCAGTACACCAACAACGGCGACTACCGCAACATGCACAGCCTCAAGGTCACGGCCACGATCTTGACTCACTTGTCGACACACGCCACCCCGGCACTCCCCGGGCGACACAGACCCAATCCGACACGGTTACCCAGCATCCATTCACTCTTCACTGTCGACGCCGCACATGCTATCGCTGCGGTTCTACCGCCGCTGCAATGCGCCGTCGGTCTTATCAACCTCGGCACTCCTATCGGCCACCACCAGTCTCCCGTCACCAGTCCAGCCAAACCCGTCGTGGGCTCTCCGACCAGCCCCGGCATGACACCGGTCGGACCAATCTGCCAGAGTGACTCCACCTCTGCTACGTCTGTATCCATCAGTTCGAAGACTCGGCGCCCGCTGTCCCTGCATGACCTTCTGTCCACCGAGACAACGTCCACTCCATCAACACAACGCTGCACTAACGTCCACCACCGGCGTCAATGTGGTATTGCCGACTGCCAAAAGTACGCTCTGACTGGCGGGTTCTGCATCCGACACGGTGGCGGTAAGCGCTGCAACTTCGAGGGCTGTCAGACTGTGGCACAGAGTGGTGGGCGGTGCAAAGCCCACGGAGGCGGCAGTAAGTGCAAAGTGCCGGGATGTGGCTCTGTGGCGCGCCGCAAAGGCTTCTGTATGACGCACGGCGGACGTCAGCAGTGCAAAGTCGATAACTGTGGTAAGTGCGCGCACGGCGGCGGCTTCTGCATCTCGCACGGCGGCGGTAAACGCTGCTCCTCTAAGGCCTGCAACAAGAGCGCACAGGCCGGTGGGTTCTGCTACAGTCACGGAGGTGGTAAGCGCTGCGCCGCGCCCGAATGCTTCCAGGCCGCGCGCAAGGGTGGACTCTGCATCCGACACCGGAAGCTCGCGGCGGCGCGGTGCTTCTGAAGTACAGCAACGAGGCTTCGACGTTGCAGTAACGTAACGTCACTGACGTTGCGAAATCAGCCTGAAACGACCATCACTCACGATGTTTCAAGTGTCGTTATTTTACGTAAAAGCTTGAGTACTAAATTTGAAAATCATTTTCTTGGTTCAATTGGCTGCATTTTCAATTTGACTTTTAGTGTAAGCTTGCCCTTTACTATATTATACAGGTGATTCTACGATTTCACCGCTGCGGACCCCGCAGGAGTTTGTTCCTCATTTCCCCTTTTGGACCCGACGTCTGAACGTCTGCTTCGAGCCGCCGCCTGTCGAGAGAGAAGAAGCCAACGCGTGTGTGGCTGTCTTTGCTCGTTCTCTGACCGCCCCTCCGTCGCTTCTCCACCCGCTCGCGTCGCCTCCCGACCGAGCTAGACTCTGCACCCTTCGCTCGCCCGACTTACTTCCGTTAACGGGCGTTCTCAATATGAGCGCCGCCTCAGCCGTCTCTACTACTCGCCCCGAGCATCTGCCCGGGATGTTCGGGACAACCATGACGCCGCCGTCTCAACGGCGTCTTTTTCTCGGCGCGTAGGCGCCGGGAAGCCGCCTCCTGACGTGCTCTCGGCGCCGTGGCAAGCCGCAGACTCGCTCCTGGATTTGGACGAGAATGATGGTCTGTCGCTGCTGCCTGAGAGCGCGTTGGAGGTGGCGACAGCTTGTCGGGACTTGGTCGTGGACAAGCTGAATAAGAGGAGGGATTTTGTGGTGCAGGAAGGAGAGAGGGAGAAGACTAAGGAGGAAGACGCGGAGCAAGTGGAGGACTCGCTCAATGTGGACGAAATCAGCGACTTGTTCTCGTGTGTAGAGCGAGAGGAGACGTCTGGTGTGGATTTTAGTGTGTTCATCGAAGAAGCGGATGATGTTAACGTGGAGGAGATTAATCAGATGCTCTCAAGCTTTGATAACAGCAAGGCGTGCAGTACTGACGACTTGGAGCTGACGACGTCGTCCCCTGTGGATGTTGTTGACACGAAACAGCTGGAGTTCGAGATGGAAGAAAATGTGAAGACGTCGCTGGAGCTTTGCAGTCCATTTGGCGACGTCGTAGCTAGACTCGAAGAGGAAGATGCAGACGCGGAGAATGTTGCCATGTTGTCGGAGATTTTCTCTGCAACGTTGGAGGACAAGGACGCAGCTGAGCCGGTAGTTGAATTGCCACCGACGTATTCGGTCGCCGACTATGAGGACGCCAAGAATGTAGGTTTGGTGGCAGAGCTGTTCACCTCGCTTGAGGAGAGCAATGAAGTTGGCCAAGAAGTGGAAGTAGCAGACAAATCGACGACGCAGGATTGGATTGATGCCTTGGAGGTGGACAACGTGGCTTCGTTGTTCTCCGAGCTGGAGCAGGCAGAGAAGACGCAGACGGCAGCACCCACATCGGTCACAATGGACTCGCGGATCTTCGTGCCCAAGTTCTCTGTGCGAATCGAGGGCGGTCAGCGACCAGGAGAACGTCGGCCAGTAGTTGGCCCCAGCAGCCATCTGCTTGTAGGTCCGCCTGGCGTCTTATTGGCTGGCCCGCCCGCCGCGTCCCGCGAGGAACGCGTCGGTCGCTGGAAGTCCAAGCGGAAGACACGGTCGTTCTCGACCAAACAGCCCGACCCGACGCTCTCCAACACGAGACGCGCCAGCGCCGCCAAGCGCCAACGCGTCAAAGGCCGCTTTATCAGTGACACAAATACGTTCGTCTCCATCACCGCGCTCCAGAGGTGATCCAATTCTCGCATCGATTCCTAGACCAGCTTTCCCCTCTTAAAATGCACTGAAAACTTCCAAAAGGATTCTATTTTCGAGATGCTTTTGGCGTGCAGAACATATCATTGGAGTCCTTTTTGTCCAATCCCTAAGTTCCAGCGCATTTCTTCCAGTAAAACCATGCTGAGAAATACAAAATGCAGTGCTGGAATGCATTTAATCTAGCAGCAATTTTAGGCTTAAAAATGAAAGGGATCCAATACGTTTTTAGAAAGCATGTGATTTGCGTGAGCTGTAGTACCGCAGGTTCAACCACCACATGGTCCGACCTTCTCGCCATTTCTGAATTCGGCAATGTGGAGTTACATGGCGTCGGCGCTCGGTGTGCTGAACTCCAGAGAGGACCCACTCTCCTTGCGTGCTTCTCCGAGCAATCAGGACAGCGATGCAGAGCGCTCGTCTTTTCGCTTGCGCTGCCGCGGGTGGCTCGACAGGTACGGACGTACAAGACCACAATGTGATAAACTTAGCAACCCATATTGTGCTCTACTTTTCCTTTTACAATGTGTAGAGAGAACGAGTTGTTTATGTCGATACCTAAGCGTGCCACGGCAAGTTGCAATGTCATTTTCTTCCCTGGGGATGTGCAGGACTTCAAAGCAGCCATGGCAACAAGCCCCTTTGCAGACTATAGCGACTTCGCCTACGAAGCTGTGGCAGAGCTGCTGAGTGAGAAGTTTGGAGGCACTTGTAACGTGTGGGTGGTGCGACCAAGTCGCTTCAAGCACGGAGCGTACAGTAGCTTCGATAACTTCGTGACGACCAATGAATACGGAGCAGCAACTCAATGTACGTGGTGATGGTGGAAAAACTGATGACCAATGATTTTTTTAATAACGGTGGCTGATGCAGATGATCCGAGCGCTTATGCCACTAAACATTTATCATCACTGATGCAGAATACGCAGACGGCGCTAAGACGACAAGGAGGTACAGATCTTTTTATCGCTAAAGATATTCTCGGCTACTAACGTGTTTTTCTTATTTGTAGTAAATGTGTCGACTGCGCTTCCGATGCACCTACTGGGTTTTAGCAAGGGTGGCATCGTGTTAAATCAACTCGTAACCGAGCTGGTGCGGTACTCGTTTAATAAGAAACGCTCCAACAGTGGTCAAGTTCGGCAGGGCTCTGTGTTTGCGAGCACCCGACAGTTCTTCGCCGCGGTAGGTGACATCGTTTTTGCTTCTACATGTAGACAAGGGAAGGCGTGTATTTTGATGTCTTAATCGACTGTGATGGGTTTTTACTCTTTGAGCAGATCAACTCGATTCATTGGTTAGACACTGGCAATGGCTCCCTAGAAGGAGCAATGCCAACGGAAGAGACAGCCTTGGCTGTGCTCTCGCGATACGAGTAAGCTCACAGAATTTTTCAGATTTCTTTTTAATACGTGATATTAAGCTGCTATTACTTTGATTCCTCAAACAGGCAACTCAGATTATTCGTGCACGTGACACCGTATCAGTACGAGTCGAGACTGCGGCCATGGATTAAAACCGAAGTAAACAGTTTTGTCACCAAGATGAACCTCCTCGGCGCCGATATCCAGCTCATTATGTACGTGGGTATTGAACGGGGTGGAATTCTATGTGCCTATCTAACTAGACTTCCTGGTTTCAGCTATTACGAAGGCGACGAGGGCTCGTTAGTATCCCATTTTCATATTTTGCAAGATTTTGAGGCCAGCCGATCATTCAGATCCAAAGGTGAGGGAGTCGCGAACTCACCGGAACATGCTGTTCAGCCGGTTCGGATTCGGGCTTGCAAAAGAGAGGTCCAGATGAGACCATCAAAAGGGTGTTGGTAAACACAAAGAACGAGATGCGACAATTAAAGCTATCCGGGAGTAGAGAACATCAAAGACTGTTCATGTGCTAATGGATCTGCGTTTACACAGTACATCTCTAAGAACAAAAGTTAAACTAACTTTTTTTAAAAAGTTCACATTTAATGTGAACTGACCTCCATGTTATTTACCGAATGACAGACTCTCTGTGGTCTCTTGTTCATTCAAACAGAATACAGTTTACTTCCTGTTAAACCTCCGTTTGGTACAGAAAACGTATCATTTGCAGCGCGCTGCGACCACATAGCCAATATTGCCAACTTAGTTCTTGCCCTTCTTGCGCTTCTGAGAGGTCGACGTCGTCTTTGTGGTCGTCTTCTTGGCAGGGCCGTTCAGAGGTGCATTTAAGCTTTGATTGACACTAGCCGTCTTCTTCACGCGCTTCGTCTTGGAGCTGCGCTTGCGGGATCCGCAGCACAAGCCACACGTGAGCGTACACAGCGTCGTGGTGAGCAGCCACCACACTAGACGCAGGGCGAGACGGATCTGGAACAGAACCAGCGGGATCGCCAGAAGGATCAGCACTCCATCAATAACTTTCTGAGCGTGGTGCGCCACGTAGTCGTTCTGCTCCAACAACGTGATCGCTTCATTACGCGCAAGCTTGGCACGACGCAGAGCCTCCTGCGAGTAGACTACAACCTGCTCCTTGACCTTAGCAGCTTCGTCTTGCACAAGCGGCAGGTATCTCTCGTTCACAGTCTTGTGTACGTCCGCCCAAATCGGATCCACCGTCTTCTGTACGTCCACAAGAATCGGATCTAGCGTGGCTGCCAGGTTCTCCTGGTAGAACTTGCTGGTGGTGTCACTTGCTGTCTTCTTGGCATTCTCAAAATGCCCCTGTACTTGTTCCAATGTGTCCGACTGCTCGTTCAGCTTCTCCTGGGCATAAACCACAGCTTGCTCTGCCAGCACCAGCGCGTCATCGTAGTACATTGACAGTAGAGCGGCCATAGAGAGCTCCACGGCCTTAGCCTCGCCCAGATCTTTGAGCAACGCCTTATTCTTCTTCTCAAAGCTGTCTTTGCTCTTCTCCAGCTGCGTTGTCTTCTTCGCCTGCTCTGCCAGTTTGGCCAGCGCCGCCTTCAGCTCGGCGTCTCTTTCAGCAGCTGCTGTTCGCTCCTTCGCCAGATCTTCCTCTAGTCTAATGACGTCACTGTCACGAGAGATAGCTCGCTTGCTCTCGCTCTTAAGCTTGTCCAGCGCGCTCTTGAGCTCGGCTTCGGCCTTCTCCACGGCATGTTTCTCGATGGCCACGTCCTTCTCGAGCGTGGCAATCTCGTCCTGTAGCTTCAATACGATTGCTTCATGCTCCTTAGCCACATCTGCTAGCAACTTCGTCTTCTCCTTGCCGTGGGCATCCACTTGGAGCTGCAGCTCGGACTTGGATTGCTCCAAGTCTGCGATCTTTGACTCGAAAGAGGCAACAACGGATGGCGCTGTGCACTCTCCGTCGGTTTTAACTGGAGCGGCGTCTTTGGCGCACACGGAGACGGCCAGCGCCGCGACGAGCAGCGTCCAGCGAGCTACACGCATTGATATACGAGTGAGTCTTAGTGATCCTTTGGGGGGTACGGATGAAATGAGATGTGAGCTTTTTTGGACTGCAATGTTGGGCATACAAAATGGAGGTGAACTTGGATAACGTGATGTGATTGGACAAGTAGAGGAAGTGTTTTGTCCTATGAGAGGGAAGGATGGTGGGCGACACGCAGTCTGCGATCTATAGGGAACCATCCTATTTGGTAGAAAGCTTGTTGGTTGTAGATGTTTTATGGTTGATTGAGTGCAATGTAGACGATCAAGTGTTCATCAGATCACAGCGTTGATGCCGGCTTTCCCAGCTGTTGCGCTTCAACTTGAAGGTGGATCTCGCCGCCCGTCAGGGGCATCACTTCGGCGCCTTGGCCACTAGGCATAAAAATGGAGGAATGTCGGCAAAAGTAATTGTAGTGCATTGGATAGATAGGCGAACCTGATGGGGGGAGATGATAGTGTTGGGTTGGCATCCTTGAGTGTCGCGAGTGACTCAATAAACGTCTGTGGTGCCACGAAGGACGTCGTTCCTAGAAATACGTCACGCTTCTCTTCACTACGAATCTCGTAGATACTGCGAAGCTTTTTGACATTGGACAGCGCAAGTCAGGCAATAATCTGCAAAACGAAAGAGAAAGAATTTTACCTCCGAATACGTGGCTCCACCGCTCACGAAGACGATCATTTTCTCACCAGAAAAGTGCTCACTCTCCTAAATAAATTGCAGAAGATTACTTTCGTGCTTGGTGTTAGCGCATTTAGCAAAGGAAAATATATCTACTTACCGCCGCGGTTTCCTGAGCCTTGCCTTTTCCAGCCATTTTCCTACGATATAAGTGGAGAGCAAACTAGTTGACAAACCGCAGTTAAGGTTGTATGAGCGGCATACGTACTTTCGTAAAGAAACCGGACCAGCCTTCTTGGAATCACAGGCAGTCGGACTTTCGGGTGGTGGCGTGATAATATATGGGTACTCGGATTCACTTAGAGTACGTTTGAGCGCACTTGCCACAATAGACTTGATCTTGGGGTCATAACGTGCGTTTGAATATTCCACCGCCTCGGCCTTCTTCGTAGCCAGCTTCAGTTCCTCGTTCGAAATCAGCGAGTTGCCATTCTGCTTGTACAGCCCGGTACCAGCTACCAGCACCATATTTTCGAGAATAGCCTCGTGCTTCTTGGAAAGTTTCGCGGCTTGGATGACCTTGTTGCGCTCTGCTTCCTTCATCGTGTCTTGAGTTAATGCAAAAACTGCTGCAACGCGGAAGCGATCGTTCTCTGTCAATTTCGGGTCCTTGAACACATCTTCAAGCTGCTTGGCCACTATCGAGTGCTTCAGTTTCTTCCCAGACTCTTCAACACCCGTGGCCAGGGTCTGTTCGATGTTGGAGGCTTCAAGTAAGCCCGTAGAGGTGAAAATCTCCATGGCTTTACCCGCCAAGAACAAGTGCTGTGATAATTTCCCCAGCATTTCACGGTACTCAGGCAACTCACGCAATCCGGCAGCCATAGCCTGCAGATCTGTGCTTTTGCCTCGACCAAGAGAAGTACCTGCATTCGATGCCGACAACGCAGTCATTCGCTTGCCAATTTCCGTACTGACTTTAGCTATATGTGTGTGGCGGAACTCTACCCACTGTTTGTCGTTTTCGTTCAGAAATGCCGTCTTCGTCGTCGTACCTGAATTGGTTTCCGCTTCATACGCGATCTGATCGCCCTTCACGCCCAGCAAGTCGTACGTCATGGCCTGGAATGTGCTCTCGTGCATCAGTGGCGTGACCATATCTTGTCCACGGTCAATAAACAACAAAGTGCCTCGCTTTGGAGCATACGAAAACGTCGAGTTCTGAGCCAAGTAGTCGTTCATCTTGTTCTGGAACATTTGGGCCAGTGTCTCCATGCGAGTATGTCCAGTCTGGAACCTTACATAAGGGTACTCCTCAAGTGTAGCACAGACCGACACCAGCTTACTGCTAATTTTCTGCATGAGCATCTCACTCTCACTCTTCTTGGTAGCAGGAGAGTACAGAGTATGGAAAGCTTCGTGCATTCCGAAAGAGAACGCACATTTCTCAACAGCTAAGAAGTCCACATTGACTTCCTGCAAAGCTTTCAGTCTTTGTAATAAAGCTTGAGGGGCATGCTTTAGCTCACTGAGAGCATCTTCACCTGCATGGTATAGGAAGTAAAGATACACGTCGTTGTATTTCGGCTTGTTGGGGTCTTCGAAGTCTCTCGCCAGACGACGCACGTTGGCAGCTGTGGGAGCGATAAAATACACGACATTCATCTCTGGGAATGGCTGACGATCGAGCTCCATGCGTTCCAGAAGCGATACGCCGCAGTCCGTGAGCTCGCTCATGCGTGCAACTTGCGTCAAGCTGTGTGTAGCCTCATCGTCCACGACCATTACGACCCATCCGCGGGTCAGTTGTGTCACGTGCTTGACTATTTGGAGAAGGACCTTATCCTGCACCACCTTACGCAGGTCTACATCATGCAGCTTGGCCACAGACGTCGGCGTCGTCCCCGTCGCCGCGCTCATGACCGTTGCGGAATGCGGCGTCGCTTCAACATGTACACCACTTACACAATATGAAGTGGTTCACACACAGGGTTACACTGAAGGGGTACGGTCGTTTTTTGGCGGGAAATGCTGGTGGGGATGCCATTTCGTAGTTTGACACACGGGTACGTAGAGTAAGAGCGCGATGCAGAACGTGGGTAATAGTCGGCGGCGCGAGCAGCTGCCTCGCCATGGATTGTCAATGCTGTCGCTGTACAACGAGGCACCGTTGGTGGAGGTGTCTCTGGAACAGTTTGAGGAGTTCGCCATCGATCGACTGCATGTACTGAAGGCGGTGGAGAACTATCGCCTGCGCAGTGTGCAGATGAAAGACCGTGAGGGACGTCTGGAGAAGACGCTTAACAAGCATATGCCGCTGCGCTCGGCTGCCCCTAGACGCACGGGTCAAGCAGATGACGACACGGCCAAGGATGTGCTGTCACATTTCTTCCTGCGCATGGCCTTTTGCCAAACTGAGGAGCTGCGTCGGTGGTTCCTCACACAAGAGAGCACACTCTTCCGGTAGATTGTCAATTGCAGCCTCTTTAAAAAATGCTTCTGCTGACGGTTTGATACGATCTTTGACGCAGTTATCGCCTGGATAAACTGACGCGGGAGGAGAAGATCCAGTTTATGAAGCAGAACGGACTGTCGTACGAAGAGGTAAGAGAAGATGATAATATATTCAAAGAAAGTAGGAGCTGACTGGCTTACGCTGTACAGGCAACGATGAAGGAGATTGAAGCGAGGCAGAGCAAGTTGAAGGCTGTGAGGGACTCCAATGACTTCAAGGTGCGCGGCCAACCACTGCCTGCATACTTCAAGGTTCCCTTCACAGAAGCTCTGGACCTGGTTGCTACTCGACGAGTGTACATTGAGGCTGGTACAGCTTTTGTGCCGTTTGAGCACGTCGTGTCCATCCTGTTTGCTGCCTTCCGTGCCAATGTACGGTTCTATCAGCAATAGTTTTTCAGCTTATTCTAACAATTTCTACTGCCGCAGCTGTCGAAGGAACTATCGGGAGCTTTCCGCAAGTACAATCGCTCGTTGGTCAGCAAGGACGAGCGCCTTGCGCCTGTATTATCGAACCTTGCTAAGCACCACATCGACGCCGACTACTCTTCCACACCTGTGCCTGGATCGGAGAATGCGATCAGACCAGATATGATCGATGGTCTTGCTGCCACCTCCATGCCACTTTGCATGCGCTCACTGCACAAGGGACTGAAGCTTAACCACCATCTCAAGTTCGCAGGACGTCAGCAATATGGCCTGTTCCTCAAGGGTATTGGACTTCAGCTGGATGATGCTATCGCGTACTGGAAGCAGGAGTTCTGCAAGAAGATGTCGGTCGATGATTTCAACAAGAAATACGCCTACAACATTCGTCACAACTACGGTAAAGAAGGTAAACGCAAGGACTACGCGCCTTCCAACTGCATGCGCATCATTACTGGCGATCCGCCCAAGAACGGCGAGTATCACGGTTGTCCGTTCCGTCATTTTGAGCAAGAACACCTGCGTAAGGCGCTGCAAGGCGTGTCAGAAGGAGACAAACAGGAGATCTTGTCTCTCGCAGAGAACCACCACTACCAGATCGCCTGCAAAAAATACTTCGAAGCTACTCACCCTGGTAGCGACCCTGACGTCCTTATCAACCACCCCAACGGATACTATGAAGAGAGCCGCAAATACTATGCCACAAAAGAGAAGGGAGTCACTGTTACCGCTACTTAGAGTGGTGATATTGATAGTACTGTCAAGAAGAGGTTTAATCAAGAGGAATCCGTAGGCTCATTCTAACTCAAATGTACTCATTTGTTGTTATCAGGCGGGTTCCTCCTGCTGGAATCGCTCCCTTCATCTGAGAACAGAAATTCTGGGTTTTACGGATCTTGTCAGTTGATCGACTCAGCGTTCACGACTTCGCGCGTGTACTTCCGTATCGCCATGTCAGCGAAAATACGGAACAACACCTGCATTATGAAGAAGTGTATAACGCATGTGAGCAACGTCTTATCGTCCAAAGAGAGGGTGGCCGTACCAGACGAACCAAGCGTCGATCCGAGCGGAAGCTCTGCACGTTGTTTTCGCTCTTTGCTTGCTCTGCCTCTGCTTCGGTATTTTCGTTTGGGTTACGTGCTGCAGTTAATTTCATACACGTTGAGAGTTCGCAAAGTGATTTCGAAGCTGCCATTCTCTAGAAATGTTGAACTTACCCGTCCGAACAGGGAGCAATTTGGGTCCGCCAAGAATCTTCAGCATTTCGAAGAAGTTCTTGTCGCCGGCTTCATTCGCAATGTACTGAGAGTCGAGCACAAAGCTCTCACGTTGGTGCTGTGCGGTCAGATCCTCGAGGTGAGCTTTGTATGATTTCTTAAAAGTGTGCAAGCCTTCAGCTTCTACGCACCACAAGGTTTTTCTCGAAGAAGAGCTCCGCTGCCACTCGGCCATCGGTGTATCCTGTCTCCTGGAAGTGGCGGATCTGCTCCAAGATGGCACAGAGCAGCTGTACAATTCCAAGCTTAAGTTAGCAATCTTTCGCACGTGCAATAGGCCTTCAACTACGTACAATCTCATAGGACCCTTTCACCTTGGTTTGGACACGAAAGTAACTTAGCACTTCTTCGGTCGGCAGCAGGAAAAATCTTTATCAACATGTTATACCAATCAGTACTCCGCACCCACAGCGCGAAGTCATACGTAGTCCTAACTTGCCTCGCCTTTGCGTTTTCTCCCAGTCGAGACCACCAATCCATAAAGCCCTTCATGTGGGTATCGACAAAGTCTTTGTACTTGTTCATGTCAGCTTTCATCGCCACCCGCAAGCGAGCTCGCTCCGTCAGAATCTCCTCGTGAATGAATGTTGGCCAGGGTGAAAATTGTTCCTTGTTTTCATCGTCGGTCTCTACGCCACCATTCCCCCTCTATAGTAAGAACAAACATCCTGAATGGGTCAATCACTTCGAAAGCACTTCGTACCCCAGTCCGAGCATTTGCTGGCGAACTCCGCTAAGTTCATAATTGTGTGCGTCACGCCACAGCAGCTACAGCCTCCCTGCAATACGAGACTCAGTATTTCTTGCGGAAGTAGATGTTTTCATTGTTTTAGAAACCTGGTTGACGTATTCGAACATGGTGCGATCCACCACCCAAGTGTCTTCGTATTTCCTCATGCTTTGATCAAAGTTTCTCCGGCCACTGGTTTCTCCCACGGCAGAATGGCGAATGAGATGGTGTGCGATCAAATGCGAGCGTGCGTTGGCACCATGCAGCAACGAAGTTCTTCTAAAGCGGAACTATAAGCAGCTTGGTAGTGTTCAAAACCAGCAAAAACCGACTTCAACTCAGTCACTAAACTGAATTTGAGCCCCGTCTTAGTGATGCATTTCACCACAGTTTCGACGTGGACAACAAGAATAAATGGCGTCAATCAACGATTCTACTTCGCCTTCTTCTTCTTTCGTGAGTCAGCCTGGTGATGAATCACAGAATAAAGCAGTGCACCCGACAGCTATAAATAACACACATACAAAGCTGTCGCCAAGTTCCAATGATCGCAGTGCGAATAACGATGAAAATCTGCGCCGCCAAGTTGGACAAATTGTGGCTGATACACAGCAGACCATCGACTCGCACCTGACGCTCTTCCGCGTGGGGCTCATGGTGATGGTCGCCGCTTCGGTTGGGGCATGCGTCAAGCTCAGCGGCTTGCTCAATCGCGTCAATAAGGTGGAGGATATTCCGTTGTGGCAGTTCGCGAGGCGCAAGAAGCTGCGCGTGCGCTTGATTCGCCAGTCGCGCCAAGACCCGAGCATCTTCTACGTCTATCATACGCCGTTCTTTCGTCGTGTGGTGCTGCAAGACGTGCTACCACAGAGTTTGGCAGTAAGTGTAAGTGGGAAGAAGGAGAGCGACCTGCTCGCAGTTCGACTGTTTGGCGTACAAGTGGATGAGACCTCGGAGGAGTGGGTATGGTTCAACTTTGTGTCGTCACATCGGTATTTGACGATTCAGCTGCTGCAACGGTGAGTTTGGCATGGCAAGCTTTGGTGCTTTGGTATGTGGCAATTAATTTTTTTGTTTGCGTCGATAGAATTAGTGTCGAAGGAAGTGAGAGGGTGGCAACGTGTAATATCGCATTACGGAGGGTTTGTTGCACCTTTTAGTTCTTGAAAGGATGATCACATTTGGATAAACTGACTAAAGGATCTGTTGATGTCACTGCAGTGGCCCTTGGGAAAAGATTTTGCTCACGAGCTAGTTTCCCATGGCTATGCCGAGTGCATTCCCGAAAATCTTGAAAACTACGACAACGGATCGTAAGGAATTCTCTCATGCGCATGCTGGCTAGATCTCAACACTTATTTTATTCCTGGCTTATCCTTCCAGGGAATCTGGAATATCGTATCTCGCTCAGCGTCTTAAGAAACTTGAGACAGCCCAGAAGCACGCTCAAGTTATGCAGTACGGCGTCTGGAAAGATTGGCATGAAGAAAAACTCTCCGACCGCGTTCTATCTGCTGGCAAACGTGCCACTACAAAAGGCTTAAAGAAGATTATCGACACTTTTCGGCAGTAATCGCAAATAAATATCATCGACAAGAACTTTTTGCGTGGATATTGTCCTTTTTACTTGGAAAAAATATTAACCGTAAAAAGCATTGTCACTCAGAGCAGCATTGTGCACCACCTCCCTTCAGTTTAGCCATAGCAGCGGATGGCCACATCACAGCCCTTGTCTGCACATTGTCCTCCCTTCTCCAGGTACTTCTGGTGATTGTCTTCGGCGTCCCAGAACTGTTTGGCCTCCATGATTTCCGTCACGATAGGTTTGCTCAGCGTTTTCTGGTGCTCCTCCTTGGATGCCAATGCAGACTTACGCTGGTCCTCGCTGTGGTAATAGATACCGGATCGGTATTGCGTACCCTTGTCATTCTTCTGGCGGTTAAGAGTCGTGGGGTCGTGGATGGCCCAAAACTTGTTCAATAGCGACTCGTAACTCGTCTGAGACTCGTCGAACACAATGCGGATGGCTTCTGCGTGGTTGGTGCGGCCTGTACACACCTGACGGTACGAGGGACTTCCCACGTTGCCCTGAGTGTAGCCCACTGAGGTCTCCAGCACTCCTGGGATACGGTCGAAAGCTAGCTGGACGCCCCAGAAGCAGCCGGCAGCGAAGGTGGCGACACTCTGTGGTCTGCTGATGTTGTTGTCGACCTGGTTGTCGGCCATGACGAAACTTGGAGACGTGAGGAACAAGCGCGACGTGAGGCTGCGGCGGATGATGCGAAACTGGTGAGCTACGCAACCGATGAACATCTTTTGAAAAAAAGACGTGGAAGAGAAAACAAGAATGTTGGTCGTTCTTACCGTTTGAGGTTTTAGCCAATCCTAGAGATTTTTAGAAAGTATTTTTCATCGTGGGCTCTTTTAAAACTACTGTACCGGTACTCTTGGAAGGGAGCCCTCGAAGATAGCGGGAGACCAAGCTCGGGCTCAGTTCGTCTTGTATGGCATTTTCCAGAGGCAAGAATCCGTAAAACCTCCGTAAAAGTGAGGATGCATGCTGGCACAGTTGAAATGTATACTCAACGAAACAGAGTCTGTTCTAAGTGTAACAGAGCTAAGATTTCTGAAACATGAGAATACCTTCCTTGTACAATGCTTTCGCAAGCTCTGTCTGGTCCTGAGGGTCTTCATGGGGCATGTCGCCAACACGGAAGTAGTCGGGGTAGCTGTTGAGAATAAACTCGATACTTTCGGCATCATCCAACTCAAACTCAAGCGGAGAGATAGGCACCTCGTGATGCATGCGGGAGTTCTCGCGGCAGTGATACAGCACAGCTTTACCATCCTCGATCACAAGACGCGCAACGCCATGACGGACTAGCTTGAGCTGGGTGTTTACCGTAATCTTCTGCAGCGGGCTATTGTCGCTCGTGCAGTTCTCCTCTTCATCCTCAAGAGCAGGAGGCAGGCGGTCAAGTAGAAAGTTCTTGGCCATCTGGTCGGAGGCAGCGTCTAACATTCCCATTGCTTCACCAAGCACAGTCTTAAGCGCCCCTTTGAGCTTGTTAGCGAAGGCCTGTCTCTCCGGGTCGCCTTTACGGTCTGAGTGCATGACACCCATGTACTCCAAATAGTCACGAGGCAGCGATCGCCGTAGTTCCACGTTAGTGTTGATAGCACCTGCCAATGCTTGAGGGAGCAACACCTCGAGGAAGTTCCCCATTGTATTCTGCTGACCAGTCGACACGGTCAAGTGCAACGAGTGTTTCTCCTTGTGTGCACGTGCTTGGTGAATAAACCCACGTGGGAAATACAGCAGGTCTCCTTGTTCCAAATCCACTTCAAGCGTGGGTTTGCCAAGGTCTTCCGCCTTGAAATTTCCACTAGGATATCTCGCCAACACGTCACTCTCATTCAACGGTTTGTACACTTTCCAGTGCTTGCATCCTTCTGTTTGCAACAAGAAGGCCTCAATGTCGTCGAAATGGGGTGCAAACCCTTGAGTATTCTTCGGGGTCAAGTAAGTATTGGCACCAGCCATACAGCCCCATTCGTCCTCCAGAGTGGCCAGCAGCTTCCAGACATCGTCCGAAAACTTCTGAGGGCACAGGAGACGGACAGAGCATCCATCATCGTAGTGTTTCCACACCTGTTTGGCCGTTGCAGAGCCTGGCGGGTTGAGTGTGTGGCGGGTGTCGTCCACGTACTTGGTCAAGTCCACATCAGTGCCGTACTCGAGCGTGTGTGTCTTGAGAATGCGGTCGATCTCCTGTTTACTGAACCAGCCGTCGTAATAGCTGGGAAAGTTGCGTTTGATGGCCAATGGACGCTGCTCCCAATAGTTCTCGTAGAACTCCTCAGGGGTAACAGGGTACAGTAACCAGGTGAGTAGCAGTCGGGCTTTCGTTGCGCTATGGACGTCGATTTGAGACACGAGTTCGTGAGCATCTACGACTTCATCCGCGGATATGTCCTTTTGAATCAGGAGAGGGACGGAAGAGGATGAAGAAGCCTTGCGCTTCTTGGCGGGAGGCGCAGACGTCGGAGCCTTGGCTGCAGTCTTGCCCGCCATTGGTTTGCTTGTAATTACAAAGATGAAAGGCTGCCATGTTTTTTATAAGAATATGTTTTTATTTAGGAGCTTGGTATTTAAATGAGTCCTTGCTAATGATTTTAACTTACTGTTAAAATGGTATTACTAAAACAAAAATACTAGCACTTTTTTAAAATCGGCCTAGATCGTATTTAAAAATCCGCCTCGAAATTAACAGGAAATTTACTTTCGGAAGAGCAAATCTGTCGGAATTCACAGTATTAATACAAACATTTAGTTTCAAGACGCGTGATGTACATTTATTTAGGGTATTAAACATGTACAGTACTGCACCCCGTTTTCGCGCCCTTGGACCTTTGATAAACTTCCGGATGTGATGATCCTGAATCCAAATGAACTATAGTTTCTAAGCTTCAATTTCGTTTATTTGCAAATCCTATATGGCCCACCCCGCGAAAACGGGGTGCAGTACTGTACACGAATGGCGTTAGAGCACCATAGGCTACAACAATACAACAGCGTACAAGCACCCTTATACAGTATGACTCCTGCACCATTTTATCTGAAGAGCACCCTTAAACAAGGGAATAAATGACCAGTGGACAGAGGCGAAGTTTCACGATAAGGACAGCTATAATGACAAATTTACAAAGTCTGTTATCTGATTCCCGTGCCTTTCTCAGTTCTCGGATTCACGTGCTTTTTTTATTAAGCAAAGACCAAGGACGATGGATCTCCAAGTCTTGGCGCTCCAGCTGCTACGTTCCAGAGCCCAAGAGCTTCAGGAGATGCAAGACAAGTTGTGTATGGTGGTTGAGGCACTAAATGAGCTGCAGTATGCTCGCGAGGAGTTTGAAGCAATGCTTTTACGCGAAACCGAGGTCATAGACGAGTTAAGTGCACGTGTCGACGCTGTCCCTAGGTCAAGTGGCTGTACTCCGTCGTATGGAGCGTTAATGGGACAAGTTATCAGGATCCTACTGCACGAATCAAGAAACAAGTGATGTGGTAGCCTAACGTTGAATCTTTCAGCAAGCGAAAGTGTGCACATGTGGACAATGCTGATGAGTAAAGCAGCTTTTTATTTTTTTATTGACGCTGACAACATTGATACACAGTGCTATATGCAGTTGTCTTGCTCATTATTTTGTTGAGCAGCTTGCTACTTTCTTGGCTCGTCCTCTGCATGTCGGCTACGCTTCCGTCACTGGGTTGGGTCCGCTTTGTCGCACACAGTAGCAGCCACATCAGTCTCAACCACATAACGCGCATGTACGCCTCCGTGATGCGGTGTCGCTTGAATCGGTGTGCGTTGCGCACAAAAGCGTTAGCCATACCAACAATAATAAGTCCACAACTGGTGCCGTCAGACTGGGTTGGCTCATTAATCCAGTTTTTAACAATCTTATTTGGAAATGGCTCCTTTGCTCCACTTTCCGAATGCCACTTTTCCAGGTAAGGCCAAAGCTTGTCCCTCCATGTGCTCTTGATTTGTTTCCGATTGATTTGATGGTGTAGTGGCTCGAAGAAATGTACCCGCAGAGTAGGAAACTTCCACAATAATGACTCCCTAGTGAGTTCTGCTGAGATGCATCGGTATATTCACAAATGGCGTCTCAGAAAGCCACTTCTTGGGTGCCGTGGGTCACCGCATTAAGGACGACAGCGCGACACAAACCGCCAATGTATCTGCGATCATGTTAATTGAGATGTCGATAACCGCATCGCTCACCATGACATCGCGAGCAATACCAGTCGTAATATCGATAAAGTTGATAAAAGAAGAAACGGATTAGATCTTTAACATTGTCATTAACGAGAGCCCGGAATACTTCGTTCGCACTGCCTCGACCAGGTTTTCGTATGCTTTTGCAGCTGCAGAGTAGATCAATCCACTAGTTTTACCCTCCAGTGAAAAGGGTTCGACGGGGTGGGCTTGTACTAGGCGCCATTCTTGCTTTAGCCACTTCATATCTCCATTGCACCTCTCGCTTTTGCTTTGAGTACGTAGATCTGCATGATTTTGTGCAGGTAAAAACTAGTACACACCCATACAGGCATGGTTAATAACTACACTCAAATATAGGGATACATATACAGCACCCATAACTCTCATGAATCATTCTAGATCTTCGCGAGTTTTCCGCGTACCTGTGCAGAACGAGATAGTTTGACCCGAATGAAACCAATAATCGCCACGGCGCGGCTTCATCATCTTGCGCCAGCATCTCTCTCTCTCTCTTTTGCACCATGGCAGCATCGGTCTTTTTCAAAAGGACGTCTGGTATGACGAAGGTATGGTCAATGAATTTGCTGTCGCTTGCTACTTTGGCGACTTAGCACGCAGCCGTACGGGCTAAAATAAACTCGTCTGTCATCCGCACAGCGTACTGATCAAGAACATTCGATACCTTCTCCATATTTGGGCAGTAATTCGCCCATTGGATGATTTGAGTCAGCGTAGTCGTGACATCGGCGGAGACCAAAACAGCAGCAAACTTGGGCTGTTCCGTGCTCCACCCTTGCTTGGTCTTCTTTTTTGTCCTGGGTTTTGGAAGGGGTAGTCGAAGTACTTCAAACAAATTTGGTTAGTCTCATCTTGAACAGTAAGAAAAATCTTCGCAACACTCATGACAGCAGAGTGATCATCGACTTGGTATTAACCTTTCCCTTCGCATCTTTGGAGCTCAGCTTTGGATGATCTCACCCGATCGACCGCGTCGGACTCGGGCTGAGAAAGAGACTCCATGCTTTCTAGACTTTCATCATCTCGCTCACCAACATTGATTTCGCGCACAAATCCAGAATCGCTTGGTCTTCATAGCCAGCGCTTGGTCCGCCTCCAGATCCGTAATTACGGCAGCGTAATCGAGCTGGTCGAAGAAGCTATCGGGATCGCTGTCCGTCTCTATTCCACTGGATCCGTCGTCAATAGAGGAACTCTCACCACTAGTGTCCCCAGATTCGGTGTAAACAACGCTCTTCCATTTGTTCATTTCTTCATAAAACTCGACGGTAGATAGCTTAATCAATTTATCAATAAGCGGTTGAAATAGAGCTTGAGCTCTTGCGTATTTCTCAGCATCCGATAATACAAATATACCCGCGTGTTCCTCTCTCCGTAGGCGCACAAACGCCACACAATTTTCCATATTAGAGAAAAATCGGGCGCTAATGGTGCTGCATCGGCTTGGGGTGCATAACAGGATCTTGTCTTGCTTTCACCACATTAATTACTCGCCGTAGGGGCTATAAACGCTTTGTAAGAGAATCGTACATTTCTTTGGCTTGTGCCATACTCCACCGACTTGCAATGGCTGGAAGTTGTTTGAATCCGTGAGCTTTGCGAGCGACCATCATAAAATGTTGGCATGGCAGGCGACGACTCTTGTAGAACAGACAGCTGCATGACCACGTGAGGTCATCTACCTTTGCTTCTTGTCCAGGTAGCTGCACCTTCCAATCAGATTGCGAAAGACCGACCAGCACACATTTAGCTTCGCCCTTTGAACACATCCCACTGTGCCGAAACCTTCTCGAGACTGTTGCTCGATAAGCGGGCTGCAACAAGATGCAAAAAAGGTGAGACGGATCCGACTCACCGAGATTGGCTTGAGAACTTGCGAAGATATGTCAGCAAATGGTACACAACATTAAACTGGTTCTGTGAAGAAAAAAAAGCAATTGTCCGATCAAATCTTGTTTTTCTGCCAAGAAGTCGCTACTATTGATTCCAATTGCTCTCGATTCTGTTAAAGGTCGTATTTCTAGCCGTAAAGTAGCTGCCACGCCCATGGTTGTACCCCATCACACTACACCACTCCCAATTATCTTCGAAATACTGAAAAAATATTTGGGCAGGACTTCTGGTAGATGTCAGGACACTCGCCCTTTTAAATGTTTTCAAACCCGTCTCTTGATCGATTGAAAGCCTCCGTGGTCGAACTGTACATCATATGCTTCACTGAGAGCTCGAACTCGTCCCTCTGAGATCCATTGAGCCATACTTGGCGCGCTTTACGACTTTTTTTTCAATTTGCTAGAGTGTGGATCTGACACAATAGCACTGTTGCGTCGAGAAAGCATTTCTGCAGAGCTCTCCCCTCTTTAAATTCCTTGTCAATCACAAAAGTCTCGATCGCAGATCACTGCGAGTTCTTTCTCTTGAAATACTCCAAGATCATCTCCATCGTCTCTATCTTTTCATCGAGTGCAATAAAAACAAGAACTTGTACACCACGTCCTGTTACACTAGTGACAAGAAGACTTCCTACAAACAAAACGGCAGGTAATAGCTTTAAGAATACTGTAATACTAAAGATAAGGTTGCACCACCTGCGATAAGGGCGCATCAACAAAACGTACTTACCAAGATGAAACCCCACGTTGTTCGCTCCGTACGTCCAATCCATACAAAGCATCTCGCCCCACAGCTCGAAAGCTAACTTCTGCACAGCTGTCTTTATCACCGCTCCACTCGTAATGTCATTTGATGTCGAAGAACGAGCACAGCGTAATCATCGAAGATCGACAGTGTTTCCAGCATAGTAGACAGCTTCTTATTCGCAGACATGCTCTTTCAGAACCTTTCGCACTATGTTGTGTGGTGTAGGGATTTCCAGATTCGACCAAACGCCAACCTGCTTTAGGTCAAGAATCGGCTCGGTCTGATAACCCAGAGCTTAGGAGCAAAGGATCACGGTAAGTACTCGGCGATCTGTCCGGATATGTTATCCGGATAGCCGCTGAGCTCAACGGTCGCCGGAACTCAGCTGAAGGGTCGGTAGAGATCCGAAACGACTACATTTCACTAGATATTTGTATGAGAAGCATAGGATTAAATAGGGGAGCCGAAAGGGCTTCCAGAAGATAACAGAGCAGAATTTATCTAGTCCAAGACACGTGTACACCTTTCCGGTAAGTCCCTGCATAGGGCTGGATTATGCCTGCCGTCAATACTCGAGAGGCATAGCTTGTAGGGTATTGATTGGTAGCGCCAAGAGATTAGGTCGGTCCGG